AATGTGTTTTAATTATACATAACCCCCTTTTGTACATTTATATAAGAAAGATAATAATAATTCATTTGAATTTTATTCTTATAGTACAATATAAACGTATGAATATTTATAAGAAAGATATTTAATACCATGATAATAATTATCTAAACAATTTTTCTCATTAACACCCTAAAACTACAAACTTATTTTTTTAACCTTTAAACTACAAATTGGGGTATATATTTACTCTATGGGGTTTTTTAGTTCTAAGAACTATTCTGATAGCAGAATCAGACTTTTAAGTATATGAATTTTTGTGTTTTTTTCATGCCAAAGAGAATAATAAAGAGGAAATTCAATTTTACTAAAGTTTAATCGATGAAAAATCGATTTAAATAAATGAAAGTATTAAAAAACGATTCAATCTTCATTTAATTTAAGTTTACCTGGAGTAGATATATATTTACTCCAGTTAGTAGTTCTAGGGTTAAATATTACTACTATTATTATTATTATTCAATAAACATTTACATTTAAGAAAATTCCAATTAATAACGTATGTTAAAATGAATGAATTAATTTTAACATATTAAATCGAAGAGAAAAAATATGAAGATAAAGTTTATTCGTTAAATTTGTGTAAAGAAAATATTTGGATAAGAATATCGATGAACCATCTTACGAAAAACCACCCCCGTTATGTCACACGAGGTATCTATAAGAAATTATCTCGTCGTGCATCTTCCTGAGGTAATAGAGACCCCCCTCTTCACACAATGTGCTTGAAAATGATATATGTATATGTATATATACGTAAATGGGACAACAACATTGTTGATAAGATCGTTTCTTTTTAATAATTTCCAGTTTTCTCTCTTCTTTTATATCACTTTGAAATTATCGTGTTAATCTTCGAAAAATAAGATCGAGATAAAGAATCAAATATACGAGAGTAATCTTCACGAAGACGTTTAAGATTAAAAAATAAAAACACCTTGAACGATTTAATCGTCATATAATATATATTTAAAAAAACATTATAAATGTGTTATTTACGAAAGTAGATAATCCATTTGCTCGCTTATATCAAAATTGTCCTATTTAATTTCTTCTAGATAATATTACATAAATTACAGATAAAAACTTAAATAAGACAATTAACGGATATATACTTTTAACGTTAATTATTATTATTAGTACGAATGAACTAGCGAAAACGTAAAATACTTTACTCTAATAATAGGAAGTTTAAATAGCGTACTTTTCAAAAAAAAAAAAAAAAAAAAAAAAAAAAAAAAAAAAAAAAAAAAAAAAAAAGAACAAATAGGAAAAAAATGATTCGTTTTAACGTAGTAATTGTTCTTACAAATACTACAAACTAATTGATTTTACTTTTTTACGAATAAATTGATATTCTCATAAATTCCACGAATGATCACAAAGTCCATAAGTTTATCCTACTTTACAAGAATTCCGAGTAAACTTTAGACCGAGACCCATAAATAGATATCATTTTGTTGTTGTTGTTATTATTGTTGTTAAATACTTTACTCGCGAATCGTTCAAACATATCACTTTGTTACAACGTTGTTTTTTATTATAATACTTAACGTGAGTAATCGCGTAAATATATGACAATTATGTATAGTATGTATGATCTTTGATAAGAACTAACATATGTGTATGTATGTGCGTGCGTGCGTGTATGTGTGTAATAATAATTAAGATCAATTAATTTTAGGTCATACGAGAAAGAGAGTTCAATGTACATATATACATGCACACGCACACTATATTATACATATATAATAATATAGATACGTATATATAAATTTCATATACGTTTTTTTTTATATACGTATTAAAATTCTACGTAAACTTTATATTATAGGCTAAAAATATATTCAAATTTTGAAGGACCATTGACAAAAAAATTGGAACGTCCAAGTCGTTTACATACATACCACACGTATCGTATCTTTTCGTTAATTATTCGGAGTGCTTAAAAGCTTGCTTCCTTCCTTTTCTTTTTATTTTTCTATCTATATATGTATCTATCTATCTATCTATCTTTTTCTTTTTTCTATACGTATTCATCCGGGAAAAATAATTTCGAAAATAATAGTATAATAAAACGACGGATCTCACGAATTCATTTTTCTTTTTACGTTTTTTACGTTTTTTCCATCGGACACGCATGATTTGACCCTAATATAAATATAATGAAAGAAGAACAAGTCGCGTGTATCGATTTGACGATGTTGGACGTTTTACATCGTCATGGAGACATAGGAAAACAAATCTAATTTATTTGAAAAGAAAAAATAAATAAAAATTGAAACTATTTCATCTCTCTCTCTCTCTCTCTCTCTCTCACAGCAGTAAGAAACGTGAATTCATTGTATCGAGTACAGGAAAGAAAATATAAAAAAAAAAAGAAGAAAAATCAGTTCATTTGGTATAGTTGTGTGTACGCGACGACGAGGAAAAGTTTTCATTAAAAATAATTTGAAAATAATAATCAGGAGAATACCGAAAGATAATTCACAGTATCTTGAATGTTGAATTATTTAACTAAGAATAAATGAAAATGGTATAACATTAATGAACGAGGTTTTAACTAGTGTTAAATGTAAACAAATAACTTTGATTTCAAGATAAGCATCTAATTAATGGTGAGATTTAACTCGCGTATTCGAGGTAAACAGGATATGATGCTATCGTGTTTGTTGTTCGTGGCACTCTCGTGCGAAGAAAGTGCGCGTGTATATATGAACAAATAAAAAGAAAATAAATAAAAAACCCAAAAGAATAAGAAAGAAAGAAAGAAAGAAAGAAATAACACATTTATCAGTCTCCGACAAGTGCGTTTTCTAGATCTTTACGTACGTCAAACATTTTCTTTCAAATATTTATCCATAAACTCGTAAAGAAGAACCGAAAATAGGGAATACAAAATGATACGAAAGAAAAAAAGAAAAAAGAAAAAAAGAAAGGGTGAATCGTTTATACGCGATATTATTTTTTTAAAGACTTTAAACATTGTTTCAATAATAATTAAAAATTCATTATATTGTTAATTAAAATATCACATATATATATTTTGTAAATATGTTTTTTATCGAGTATACGATTATTATATGTATATATATATGTATCTTGTTTTTTTTTTTAAATTTATTTTCTCATCACCCCTTTTGATAAAATTGAATATTTCTGGCCACTCGACGTTAATTTTCAATCAGTGAGATATATTTCGTTGATAAGAGAGGACGAACGATCTCGTTATCGTAGAAATTCACTGATCGATACAACAATATGCTTGCACGCTTGATTACGAGCATATGTACAGGAAACAAAATGATCCTCCTGTATTATTATCATTAACCTAATGTTCAATTTATTATTGTCACGAACTGTTCCTCGTTCTGATAAAAATGAATATGTAAGTCGGCACCTATATATATGTGACATGCAAATAATGTGAATGAAAAATTCTCTCTATATTAAAAGTAAAGAAATCTTAATAATAACCAACAGGTAAACATATTTAGTGACAAAAAGGAGATGATAAGGGGAGTTGATAAATACAAAAGAAAGTATCGTGTGGTAGGTTGTTAAACATTCATAAGATTCGATATTTCTATTTTTGCAATGTAGGTCGGTGCCGTCGTCTTTGTTCCGTTTCATCAGATTATTTTACAAATAACATTTCGAAAATTGTCAATGTACTTCTGTCTGTTAACATTCTACTACAAAAAAAAAAAAAATAACAAAGAACCGAGAGAATACTTTTTAACAACTTAAGAGTCTCTAACCAGTATTCTAAGATAATTCGTTTTTAAAAATCTGCATAATGCAAAGGCAAACAATTCTTACGTTATACGGAAACAGTAATTATTATCGTTTAAAAGTCTTATTTCATAACGTTTAACCAATTGCTTTTATCTTTATCAATGAGGAACACGTGTTATATCATATCTTTAGTATAATGAAAAGAAATAAATATTTGTATTAGTCGTTAAAAAAAATTACATTTATAATCTATTAAATTAAGATATCGTTTTTGGTAAAAAAAATAGAAAACAAAAAAAAAAACAAGGTAGATTGCCTTGACACGATGTCGTAAAAAAATTTGAAAGATACATCTAACTTTCTCTCTATTTCTCTCTTATATATATATATGTAATAGTAACATATATTGATATAAATAATTGATAAGAAGAAACACGCATTGGGAAGATTCTAAAAGTGAATTTAAATTGAAAAAAAAAAAAAAAAAAAAAAAAAAGAAAAAATAATTTAATCTATTAACAAAACGGATTACAATTTCTTTTCTTTTAAAACGAGAGATAACAAAACCAAAGTCATTCCTGACGAGTATTTAGAGATCTGGAATTATCATTTGAGAATTCGTAACAAAAAAAAAAAAAAATGGAAAAAAAATAAGAAGAAGAAGAGGAAAAATAAATCTCAATAGATATCCCACAGTAATACAATACTATCAAATGATCACATGCAACCGATCATTTTTTCATCTAACTATTATCTAACTAGATACCTCATATATATATACATATATGTATGAATAAATAGAAGATAAAGATTATATTATACGTAAGTTAAAGATTGATACATTCGCTAATAAATATACATCGTAGTTTTCATCTTTAATTAATATATGCAACGATCACATGATTAATAATTTCTTTAAACGCAAATCTCTCTCATTTCAATTTAAAACATTTGATAGATAACTTCGATCTATGATAATTAAAACTCTGAAATAAAATAAACGAAAGGTAAAAAATATAAAAGAAAATAAATCTTTATAATTCTAAATTGTATATATGAATATTATCTACGAAAATGTGTAACAATGATTAAAAACCAAAAAAAAAATTAACACACATATATATAATCCTATAATAAATATATATTACACTTGTATAGAAATATAAAAAATGAATGTAAAAAAAAAAGAACAATGTGATAATATAATATCGAAGCGACACACTCACATAGAAATAAATCCACGCGTTCGTAAAAATAAAAAAAGGGAGAAATAGTTTGCTGCGTTATATTTTTTATGCCACAATCTCTTGTTGTTTTTTTTCTGTTGACCCTCTTCTTCTTCTCTCTTTCTACTATCCAATGGATAGTAGTTCTTCTTCTTCTTCTTCTTCTTCTTCTTCTTCTTCTTGACGAAACTAACTAACTTGTGCTTGATAACACGATCTGCGATACTGCCGTATGAACGCAGACCGCGATAACTTATATAGGGGAGCATTTCAGCGCAAGCGTCGCACACCCCCGCGCTCTTCTTCTTCAGTTAGCCTAACTTCCCCACCTACTTTTGATGAAAACGATTATCCAGCATGATCGTTCGGTACGACGGATCGTTAAGTTAACCGGAAAAATGTTCTCTCTCTCGTATTCTTATATTATTAGAAAAATATGAATGTATATATATAATTACAATGATCATATTAAACGAAATAAAAGAAATTATTGTATTTTGATTGAGATCATCATCTTTTGATTGGCCCTTTTATTTTAATTTTCTTCTTCTTCTTCTTGCATCCGATTGTTTCTTTTCTTACTCTTTTTTCGTTTAATATTTAAATGAAATAAATAGAAGAAAATATATGTGTTTTGTATCTATATTAGAGAGTTTCGTTAATTAGGTTTTAATATATAAAATAATAATACGAATTAAAAGTTATAGATGTTTGTTTATGTAACATCGAACTAACTCGTGATATTACGTAACAACGTTGGCTTGATAATAAATCATTTTTAAAGATTTGGGAAGTCCGATGCCCGCACAGGTTCGAACAAATGGAAAACAAATTTACAATGGCGGGGGAGGGCGGGGAGGAACATGAATTTGCGATTAACAAAGTTTCGGACAAGCGCCACTTCTAATATCGCTTTTACCTCGTCTACGAGTTAACATATTATTGTTAATTATGTTATAATCATGTTACTAATAATTACAGATATATACGCTCACTTATGTCTTTACATTAAAATGTATCAGGTTATTCAATTTGTATAATTCTAAATAACTTCAATTCAATTTAAATAATTAAATGTAAAAGAGAATAAATCGATTAATCGATACTTGTTTGAATTCTCATCACTGATTGGTTCATTTAATAAAATATTTCGAAAAATCGATTAATTGATTTTCGATCTAAGGTAAGAGGCTCTCTCCAATTGGTTATTTTATTTCCGCGGGAAATAAGCCGTAAAGTATGAATATACTGAAAGAGAAAGATAATTATTAATAATTATGTGTAGCCTTGATAACGATGGAATTTTTGAAAAAAAAAAAGTTCGATCATTGGAAAAATACATCCGAATGAAATATTATAAATTATTGTACGATCAAAAAATGAAGGTTAGTGTCGATATAATAATCGCAACAATTTTGAATTCTTTACGATTAGTAGTCGACAATCGTATTCTATTTTTGTATATATATATATATGATAAAAAAACATATGTCTAAAAATCTGTAAGATATTTCTGATAGATTATTTAAATAAATATACATATGTTAAAAAAAATGTAATAAAATTATATCGATGACGGATATGATATAATATTATTCCATGCAAATATTTATTATTCGAATAATATTCCAATATAACACGCGATACTTCAATGAACTCGTTTGGATGCTTGAATCATGTTGAAAATCTATTATTTACCGAATAATGATCGATGTCATGATAAGTTTCTTTTGGTTTTACCAGCAATCAATACGAAGCTTGAAGGACATTCGACTTTGCAAATAAGATCGCAATTGTGCTCGTGTTTTATATTTTATTCATGTTTTCTTATTTTTTTTTTTTAATTATGCAATTTTATAAATGAATGAAAATATAGTAACGTAAGTAAATAAGGTAAAAACGAATTAAACGAGATAAACTACTATAAAATATGATCTTTAACCAAGGAGAACTTCTATTGATCTGTATCGATACTTAACGTATCGGTTTTTTCCAACGTCAACTGAAAACAACTAAACGAAATTTCTATTTTTCTGCATTATCATATACAGTAAACAACAAAACACCGTTCGATCGATGGAGAAATTTAAATGCAAATAATTATTTTTACATTAGCAAGCATTGCATCCGAAGTAAAAACACACCTTCGTTTTTAAACAATAACAAATTAAAATATGTTAAATAAAATACTTCAATGATTATATTTCAATTAAAATTCTTTTACGTTTAAATGACATATATGAATGCAATAGAACATTCACATTCGATTTGTACCAGTTAAGTTATGCTTTGATCAATGTTACTGAAGATTCTATTGGGTTCTCGTAAGAAACAAAGGCAAAAGAGAAAAGCAAGATTATGCATTGACGTAAACAGTTTGCTTTCTTCGATACTACTCGTGCTCTACATGAACAAAAATCAACGAGTTAAGATGGAATTCCACGAATGTTATATAGTCATGAACTTCGACCATATGCCAATATGATTTATCGATACCCGACAAAAAATTCCATCGGTTCAATGATTTCTCGTGATTCACGAGATGCGTATGTATTTTCACTTAGATAGTAACTTGTTAATAATTCACGTAGCCTGTTTTTTTTTTATTTGCAAGGACCAATTAAATCTATGCGAAATATTGGCCTTGTGGTTTGCAATATCAGTAAACTTTTACGAACTCGTGATGCATTACGTAAAAGTCTGCGTGTAAATATTAACAGAAAGTGTGTAAAAAAAAAAAAAAAAAAAAGAGCATGAATAATTTGTCTTTCTTTCTCTTTTGTTTCATAATTTTAATGCAAGACATGACCCTGACGAAATACTTTTATCTAATCTAAAAAGAGTAACATATTTTCACGGAAAAAAAATAACTACGAAGCCCGCGCGACTAAAAAACTTGTTTCTATCCCGTAAACAGTACGATAATTAAAAAGTACCAAATGAAAGCTAACTCGTTAGAAAAAAAAAAAAAAAAAAAAAAAAAAAAAGCTTAATGCACTTCCTCCTCTCAATTCAACTATTACGAACGAACGAACGGTGTTTGTTTCACATGGTCACTGCGTCATAGGCTTCGTGTTTCCTTCATGTCGTTTAATAAAAACCATAAAGAATTTATTTTAATTTATTAATCCTTTAATAAGTGTTAAAAGGAAAGATAGAGATAGAGATATAGAGAGAGAGAAAAAAAGATAAAACTATTTTTGAAAAAGTATTAGGAAAATTGGAATAAATGAAGCATGGACCATTGTTATCTTCATCATACTGAAGGAACGAAATCATCGTTTGTTAGATTATTTCAACTATCGCGTGTCTTGAAATTGATTGAGTTTAGATTTCGTGACCAATTTATGAAAGCTAGATGCCAGGGTCGACCAAATGAAAAACTGGAACTTGCGCAACGGCTGATCACTAATGACCCTTTACAGTGGTCTTTACAAGGTCACGAGAGAAACTTGCATCCAATGTATCGTACACGCGAGACTTAGGTGTACGAACTGATGACTATAGACAATCTCAACTGTGTTTTAATTGTTACAGTTTATTCACGCATGACCGAATAAAAAGATAGTAATATTTTTTTCCTGGATCAATAAAAAAAAAAGAAAAATGAACAAAAAATTCTTAACTTCTTGAATACATAAGACCTTTTCCCATCGAAGCGTTGCCAAAATGACGGTGATTCTCCATGCTCGGCGTAATCACTGAAAATATATTCATGTAAATATTTTAATGATTTGATATTACAATAAAAATAATATCAAGATAGTTATAGATCATATCTATGTTACGTCATTCTAAAATTTTATAAACGTACCACTATTTATTATTGCATTATGTCAATCATATTCAGTTCCCCTCCATGTGGGCAAATACACTTTCATACGAGCACTTACATAATGATTAGAATAAAGTTTCGTGCAGGGTTCCCAAGTGGGGAAGCCACTGAGTAGCGGATTTCCTCCAAACATGGGGTGATACTGATAATCGACAATGTGCAATATGCGTACGTTGATGAACATATGACCTTAGAAAACTATATATTCTCGATGATAAAAAACAATAATTACACACTCTTACACCCTTAATATATTAATACAAAAAACGAATTTGGCAAATTTGTCTAATGCGAATAAAAGCATAATGGTATATTTCAGTGCTTGTTTTAAGCAAATATGTAAATACATTACAATTATTGCAATTAGACATCCCCGCATTTTTTGGATGTCCGTATTACGATTTATAATTCTTTACTGATTGCTTAGATCATCTCTTCTTTAAATACATTTAAATATAATTATACAATATACAATAATGCGAAAACGTATATATCGAGCTTTTAAATGCATTTTGTATATTGCTATCGTTTCCTAAATTATTATAAATAATTATTACTAAGATAGTAAAAAGAAACTATATATTTCTTTTATAGGTGTTTGAAAAATGCATTGTAAATTATATTTTAATTTAATTAGATGATTTCTGTGTATATATATATGTATACGAAAGAGATATTTGTGCTATACTTTCTACAAAAAATACGAAACATATAAATAACTTTAAGAGGTATTTAAATGTACAAGGTATTATACAATCATTGTCACCATCTGAAACAGCCAACTCTTTAACCAAAGTAAGAATTTTTTACATTATTTTATAGCAGTTCCTCGATGAAATTTTAGAAAATTTCATCGAAGTTATTTAATATCTTACTTTGACTAATTATTTTAAGGACTACTAAAGAGTTTATTATTCCATGACGTACTATTGCTTGTATATTATTTTAATTATACATTTGTAAATGGATCAATATAATTTTCAAATTGCATAAACATAAGTAAAAAGTTACTTTTTAAACCCAATAAAAAAATTCATGTAAAACAATGGTTCGTTTCTTAATTATGGAGAGAATAAATCTTCATTGAAATATATAATTCATTCGACTAATTATCATAAATAATATTTAATACATTTAACAATGTAAGATATAAAGAGATATAATTTTTCTTGTTATATATTTTTAATATTTAATTTATAAGATTGATAAAAAAATCTGTTAAAGAACTTTCTATGTTTGTTTGTTTTTCTCTCAATTTTACAATATCAGAAACTTGAATAATTTAAATTTTCAATGAACACTTTATATGCTATCTTATACTATATCTTATTTTTCTATTTTCATTTTACTATACAAATAACAAAATGAAATTTATACTACTGACTGTATATTTATAATAACATTACAAATAAAATTGAATTGTTCAATTTGGAATATAACTGATTTTATTTTAAACAGAACATTCAACTTATTATGACTAATAAGAAAGAGAAAGAAACATAAGAAGAATAGAAAACTTTTATAAATACAGAGATCAACGAACAATTAATCACTATTACGTGAACTATGAAATGATATTGGCATCACTAAAATGTGACGTAATTTTTAATTTTTTTCCTTTTTTAAGTTATTCCGCTGCAAATGTGTACACTAATTAGCAGTAAATCACGCATATTTCTTCTAATCGAATGCCTTAAACTGCAATGTGCTTAAAAATAAGCATATATTAATATAAAAGTTAATAGTAAAGCCTGTGCAGTAGAGTTGGCTGATTTGAAATTTTTTATATTAGTTTAAGTCATTTTCTCCTAAAAATCACTGTAAAATAATATTTTTATCAATAAAGAAATTATTTTTAGATTTTAAAATACATATATATTAATAAAATGATTGAATCTTTAAAAAGAATTTTTATAATACTAAATATAAATTTTTAAATTGACTAATAAAAAAAACAGTTATTTTAACTTATCAATTATTCTGTAAAGAATAATGAACTTTCATGATACTTGGAAGTTTTATCAATTTTCAAGGGTATCTACAAAGATTATTCATTATATTTGAGAAAGATATAAATATATGATAAAACGTGATATAAATACTTGTTTTGAAAATTGGTTAACTGAGATATTTAATTAGTGGAAGACTCATTAATATACAATTTTCATCAGATGTAAATTAAAATGTAGGAAAATAAAAAAGGATCTACTATTCTGTCAACATTTGTATAATAATAACCTAAATTTGCTGCAATCAAAAAATATTGCCGAATATTTCATACAAAAATGAAGAAAATCTAAATGAACCATTTTTTGTCTAATGAAATTAAAATGAAATGTTTTTCATCAAAGTACATTGCATATTATTTTGGAGTTTATTTAGTCCGCTGGATAATATGAATACCGCTATCTGTATGGACAGGAGAAGATAATTCACCAACTTTCAAAGCAAATGCTGCTTGCTCGAATGGTTTCTGCATAGTACCTCTACTAAATGGTCCCAAATCCCCTCCCCGTTTAGCTGAACTGCAATCACTATATTTTAAAGCAAGTTCAGCAAACGTAGCTTTTCCAGATGCTATTTGCTCTCTGTACGCTAGGTATACAGAAAATGTATAAATAAGTACAATATATTCTTCAATTATAAACATATATATACCTAAAATTAGATTATTAAGTTATTGATATTAAAATTAAACTCACATTTTATTAAATCTAAAGCTTCTTCCTTCGACCTTGTTATATTTTCTTCTCGCCAAGAAGATGGTCGCCTAGACCCTGAATGTTTTACCAAAAGGTGCGAACACTGGACTTCTTCTGAACGATTTCCATTTCCATTACCAGAAGGATCTGCTGGTTTGTCAGGTCTATCCCACTGACTTTGTTTTGTGTATATATTTAAATAATAATGTTGACCTATACAAATAATGCTATTTTTATATGCCATATCATGATAGTATGTTACCTATTATATTCAATACTGAAGAGTGAGCAATGAAAATGTCTTCAATCTAATAGTAATCATTCATTTGAAAGCTATAAAATAGAAATACTGTGACAGCAACAGTCATAATTAAAATAATACCTAAAATACTTAAGATATTTTTATAATAATATTATGCTTTATTATAAGTATTATTTGCAATTATGTTCTCTCACATATATTTCACATTTATCATCAAATGATAATGCTACTAATATTATTAGCATATCAATCGTTGCAAATTTTTCTCTAACAAAACTTGATAGGATCATTGAATTATTTTCATTATCAATTAAATATAAATACATATATAGAAAAAATATATAATATTCATTGTAATAGATAAAATTTAATGCAACATTTGATTGATCGTCTAAAAAATATTGGAAAAATGCCGGCCGCCCATCTGATGCAACTTAAAGAGTAGTACATCGAACTATTATTAAACTTTAAAAAAATAAAACCTATTATAATATCAAAAAGAAAAATTATCTTACTATCAAAACAAACCATTAAAATTAAATGTAATTTACCAGTAGATCTACTGAGACGTTTTTCCCAACCCGCTGGTAGTTCTTCGTCCGCCATGGTTGTTAAAATTTGGTTGACTTGTATGATTATTTCTTCCCTACACGATTTCACGTCAAACACAACGCTTACCTAAAGTATACATAAGCACTCTACCAACATATGAATATTACAATCTAACCTAACTAAACTATCGTAATATCCAATAAGAAATCAGAACGTCTTCACCCATTGGTGTTTATTTTAACCAATGAGAACATTGATTTTCATTCGAACCTCACGCGGTAAAATTCAAATGATAGTTTATTCTAATTTATTTTATTATCAACTAATTTTAATTTTACTTTATCGAAGCGTATATAAGTTAACAATGTTTAGTTTATTTGAAATGTATAATTAAATATTTTCAAATAAATGTTCATAATACTGTAATTAATTATTTACTTTCATTGATTAATCAATCATTTGTCATAGCAACCAAATACAAACGTTTAGTCGAAGTATTAAAAGAGAAAGCTCTAGAGTTACAATTGAAATACTTTTTACAACAATTAAAAATTAATTAAAAACTAAATCAATTAAAACATTGATAGATATGATGATTGACAATATAGATGATATTTTAAAAGATTTAGGATGGGATGATGGATTTCGAATACCAGTTGCTAATGAAGAAAACAAGAATCTTGAAGAAGAAGTAAGACATTTATAAATGTATTTTTTTTCTATTTAATTCCCTATTGTATTCTATTATATTTTTGATCGAATTTTAGATCGAAAAGAAAACAAAATATAAGATTACCTTACACAAAAACTTGGAATCTATGGAAGAACATTTAAAGATGATTAAAAAACATGCTGTTAATATAAAAGTTCAACATAACATAAATCAAAATATTCTCACAGCACACTCAGCATTATTAGAAAAAGAAGATCATTTATATAAAATAAGCAATAGCACAGAATCAAATCTTCGTCAAGAAATGCGAGATTTTACTAAAACTTGGAATGATGTAAATGAAAGAGTATCGAACATAGAGAAAGATTTAGCTAAAATAACAAAGAAAATAGAAAATTCTAAAAAAGCAGTCAAATTTGACGAGAACGATTTATTAAGATGGGAAGAAGTATTACATAAAAAAGAAGAAGATAATGAATTGATAGAAGAATATATGAAGCAAGATACAAAAAAATATAAGGTGATCAATAAAACTATATATTTGATAATGTTACCGACATTATTTGAGCTTTATTTTTATTGCAGGAATTAGAACAAAAACGCCAGAAGCTAAGTATAGAAGTAGAATCTTATCAACAAGCAATAGTTAAAGCAGTTAACGAAGCACAAGAAATGGAAATAGCTTTAGATAGAACTATTAAACTTTATGATAAGGCATTAAAAGAACGACGACAAATGATAAACCAATGGACACAAAGTGTGGCTGTGTTGAGGCAAAGAGATGATAATATACAAGCTAGATTAAGAGTATGATAAAATATTATTTTGTTATATTTAATTTATATATATCATTTTAAATAATTTCATTTACAGGAATTAGAAACACTTCGTGAAGTTGGGAAACATAAAACGGATCTTCTACATGAAACAGAACAATTTTTGAATGATCAAATTTTAAACAATAAACAACTTGAAGAATCAATTAAAGAGTCAGAAAAGAAACTAATTAGTATAAAAGACGAGAATCGTAAGATTGTGAATACAATTGGTACGTATGAATTTGAGGTAAGACAGAAAGTAAATTACAACAATAAATAAATGCAATTATATATTTCACATATTTATTATTGGTATTAGCATCGTACTAAGAAAAAGGATATAGAGAATTTGGGTCGCCGTGTGCAACAAATAAGAACGGAAATAAAACGTAAGAAGAATGATATAGAAAATAAAATGATAAAAATACAAGATTGGAAGAAACGAATCGAAGATTCAAAAATGACCTTAGATGAAATTGATGACAAAAAATTAAATGTTGAGGATAGAACGAAGCAATTAGAAGAAATGATAGAGGTTTGTACAATTTCTTATATAAAATTGATAAAATTTGAATATTTTATTCTTACATTTCTCGAAGGAAGAAGAAAAACGTAAATCAAATATTATCAAAGAGGCAAATCGTTTGCAAACATTAATTTTACGTACTGCGAATGAAATTTCCAAATTAAATAGTGAACAAAAAATTCTGGAAATGCAAAATCAAAATGAAAGAAAAAAATATGAATTATTATTAATCAGTTATGACAAAGAGAAAAGATTATTGGAAGAGAGGAAAGAATCATTGTATCATGTTGAATTTATGGTACATAAATGTGAAATAAAATTAGATCGTGTTAAGGGTCATGAAAAAGATCAAACAGAAATTGAGAAAAAACAGAAAACGATTGAAGATTTGAAAAATGTATTATCAGAGAAAATGAAAATAGCTAAATTGTTAAAAACACAAATTACAAGTTTAGAAGTAAGTAAATATTTATATATGATATAGATTGATTTTATTTTTAATTTAAAAATTAATCATCTTTATATATGAATCAGTACGATAGGAGAAAAATTACCAACAGCATAGCAAATGACAGTGAAGAATTAGAACATCTAAAAAATAAAAAGCAAGATCTTCTATTACTTGTGGATGGTGGTGAAAAAACATTAAAAGCAGCACAGAGTCATAATGAAGAAAGACAAGTGGAAGAAAATATATTACGTCTAAAAGTTTCACAAATCGAACAAATGATGTCAAACGTTGGAGATAAGGTCTATAATTTGCAAAAATATAGACTTAAGCTAGATGCTGTGAGTGAGAAATTTCAAAAACTAATTTCCTATAAAATAATCTTTAAATTTGTATGAAGTATAAAATACATATAAAGATTATTAATTCTTACAATATTGTGAGCAGGCATTAAGAGAACGTGAAGAAGAAATTGCAGTACAAAAAGAAGCGCTTATGATTCAGAAAAGGGTTGCAGCAGGTGAATGTTCACAATTACGTAATGCTATTTCTGAAAGAAGGAATCGAATAAAACAATTACAAGCACGATATGACAGTGGTGTTGCTGTATTTGGCAGTAGTACTGATGGAACCACCATTACTACAACTTATCTTAAAATTCAAAATGCTCAAGAAAGGTATCTTTTACAAGAGCAAGGCGACAAGCTTGATGAAACTATAAGAAAGACAGAATCTGAAATAGTTGGTATAGAGAACACATTGAGAATAGTAAATGCTTGTAACAATAAATTCAAAAGTAATTTGAGTATAGTCGATGAAACTGGACCAGATCAAGAAGAACAAAATAAACTTGATGAACAACTATATAAGGAACGAGAAAATCTAAAAAAAAGACAACTGCATATGAAACATCTAACAGAAGATTTTCAGGTATGTATTCACAATGAATTATATAAAAGAATGAACACATCGTTTTAATAAAAATATATTATATATAGAAGATGCAAAATAATTATACTTTGTTACTTGATGATATACAAAGAACTAAAGAAGAGAAAGATAACAAGGAACAACAGCTTTCTAATCTTAACAAACAAATAACTGAACAAGATGAGAAAATATCGAGAGCTGAAAAGAGTCTTCGAAAAGTTCATAGAGATATACAAAACAAGTGTACTTGTACTGATGATAGTTTGATACTTCTACAAGAAGTATGTTGTATATGTTTATATATTGAAAACCCCTTTTAAAAATAAATAATGCTTTCATTTCTAAGAGAAAAAACTTTTTTTTAGAAAGATGTAAACTTGCGCGAAATACAAGAACAAAATGCATTGGCTCTTGAAGATATTGCAGAATTTACAATTCGCCATATAGAAGTAGAACCTTATGTAAAGAAACTCTTAGCAGCCAAAAACATACAATTACCTTGCATTTGTAGATTAATAGATCGATCACCTGACATAACCCGTTGTGGAAGTACTACAGAATCAACTGAATGTATAATTAAAAGTACTAATCGTACTAGTGCTTTTCCTTCTTCGAGGGAAAGTATTAGTAGCATTATCACATTGGAACCTTGTTTCGATAATTGTAAGTAGCACTATGTGTTATTTAAAAATCTATAAGAATTCATATTTATAATTTTATTATTTCAGTAAGAAATTCATCACAGAGAAACAACTTAGTAAGAAAAAATCTAAAATATGGTAAAACATCAACAAAAGCTAAAAAATAAGTGTTTGATACTATGTATATAATTTCACACTCTTAGTAAATTATTTATATATCTGTACATCTATAACGAAATGTTTCTACACAATATTTTTGTTATTTTGCATGTCATATTAATATTTTTTTTACTAATAAAATGCAGAAGGTGGTAATAATTCTACATTATTTGTTAATGAAGACATTGATTTATCATTACACAAAGGAGTAGAATATAAATTATTGTTTGTGCTATTTATAAATAAAATGTCTTGTTCATCAGAATTATTTTTAATATAATTAAATGGAATCACAGGATCTATGTATTTAAATTTAATGTCATTTCTGCAGTTTTCAGAAGAGAGAGAAAAAGATGGCACAATTATAGATGCATTATTTTCTTCAACGTTTTCAAGTGAATGATTTGTTAAATTCTCCTTAATGATTGTATATTTTATTTCTTTTAAATTAACTACCGATAACCATCTATCAAAATATTTACTTAGTATTTCAAAGTCTTCTACAAACTTTAATGTTGTATTCTTTATTCTATTTTCACGATGAAATTGCATAGTAAGTAAAGAATATTTTAAAATTTCTTTCAATCCTTCTTGCAAGATAAACTTTTTATTTATATCTTTTGCATATTCAATATCCCTCTTTTTATTTATTTTTTGGTTTATATACTTTTTCCAAAACACAAGATACTTTACTTGAATTCTCTTATGTACAGCAGAAATAATTAACTCTTCTTTTTTATACATTGTATAATTATTTTCACATTTTAGTTTCCATATCATAATATACTTATTCAAAAAAAAGCACGAAGCACGTTCATTTAATTCCTTCTTTTGTAATAATTTTAATTTATGCCGCTGAGAAAAGAGTTTCCACGAAAAAAAATATTGTCTAGAAATATAATTATTGAAAGATTCAATGGCTAGGAACGTTTTGTGCTTTTCTTGCATATGCATATTTAATATCTTATTCCATTTTTCTATGTACATTTTTTGTATCGTAGTAATAATAGTAATCGTTCTAATATTTAAATTCAATATCTGTGTTTGCTTTCTTTTTTTATATAGAACATAATCTTGCAATTTATGAAATGCATTAGTCGAAATTTTTATATGATATCTAGTTAAACATTGAAAAAATTTTCTTCTTGTACATTTTTTACAAAATATATACGATTTCCAATGTAGAACAATTTTTTGTTTCATTTTATTTTCTATAATTTGTTGTACTTTATTCATAATATTACACATTCTTGAGAATTGATGGTACCATTGTATCCAAGCATTAAATATTTTAGTTAAAATTTTAGATTCGTAAAATATATTGCTCATTTCCATTTTTCTTTTATCAACATGAACTTCATAAATGTACTAAAAATAATATTAAATACATTAATATATACATAATTGTTATATGGCTGCATAATCTATATAAAGATTATATAATATAAAAAATACCAAAATGAATTGTTTCAAACATTTTTTAAGTAATCTTCGATAATATTGCTGATCAGCTTTTTCTTTTAAATATCTCGTTTGCACTTTTGCATGACAATATGCTCTCCACATAAAATAAGATTTGTTCAACACTTTTTTATTGTAATAACAGGCCATCATTTGGAATTGTTCTTTGCAAATTTTAGTGTAATTATGTATAGTTATCAATTTTATAAAATATTTATGTAATAAATTTGAATTATATAATTTACAGACCTATTGAAGATAGAATATATAGAATCAATAAAAAAAAAAAAAAAAATAATCCTACGTATTACCTTATCAATTAATTGATTTTGCAACATATTTTTTTCTTTTCTATTTAGAACAAATTCTTTCCAAATGTTTATACATTTTTGAAGATATTTTTTAATCAATCTTCTATTCATTGTTATAATTTCTGTATATCTTATCCATAATCTAAAGTATCGTCTTTTCATTACTTTGTTATAATGTTCATTACATTTAATTATATTTTTAGATAAAATATTTAAAACGTTCCTTTTAAGTCTTACACGATAAATATGATTTATTTCACATATAGTTTTTCTTCTGCGTAATTTATAAATTGCATAAATTTTCCAAGATTCCAAAAATTGTCTTAGAATTAATTTTGTGCGAAATGTTGTAAATTTTTGACCGATGTTATCGCTTTAATTAAAATTATTTTAAAAATATATCTCATGTACACACTTCAATTAAAAAACATTACTTACTTTGAAATAATATTTCCAACATTAAATTGATTTTGTTGACAAAGAGAAGGATAATATTCCGATTGATAATCATAATTAAAAGATTTGTGTATTAATGGCAAATGTTTAAACCAACTACGCAAAGATCGTAATTCTAAATTACGCGCCGCGTACTTATCTTTTATGGATTGCATAATAATTGAAAAATCTTAAGTAAAATAAATTAATATCTATTATTTTTCTCATATTATAAGATACATAGAGTACTGTCAAATATGAAATTGAATTAACGCGGGCACAAAATTGAATTGTATCGCGCCAAAATTTGAATTTGTTCATTGGTCAAATTCATTCAAATTATGCAATTGAAGGGAAAAATATTTTCTATATGTACCTATAATAAAATATTTAAAGAAAAACCTAACGCGATGCATGTTTTAATATAAAAATTATAAAATTATTAATTAAATATTATATTATATATAAATAATGTGTGTTATTTACTTCTTTTTTCCTTTTTCTTGTTTTCGTTCAAATTCTTTTAGTGCAGTTATTCCCTGGTGTATTTTTGAACACATTTTTTGACGAACTCGTGTTACGAAAATCATGCAGCTATTCTGATTGGCGAATTCCTTTGACGGAAGGTCACCGTTAAAAACTAATGAATTGTAAGTGTTTAATTCTAAAGTTACAATCGCTTGCTATATTTCTGATAATTAATAACAAAAAAATATTTATTCGTAAAACGGGACTAAAAAGGTGTAAGTTTATTATAATTATTAATTACTAGCATTGACGTTAACTCATTAATAACGTGGCATATATGTTTTTCTTTTTATTGTAGATGTAATTAACCAAATTATTCTTCATTTTATATATGATATTAGTCATGCTTGCATTAAGTTTAATATTTTCATTTTAATTAATCCTACATCATATAACCTACATCATTGGCATCAAGTAATATGGTATACAATTAAAAAATTTAGTTGTTAGTATATTTTTTATATTCACAAATAACTTTATGTATGTTTTAATCTATTTAATGTTTAAATCAAATTAAACATATTGAAAAATCTCTATTAGAAATATTTTTTCTTAGCTACTAGTAATACTTTTTATTTTCACTATCTACACTTGTACAAGAATAATCTATTCAAGAATATTCCATGATTTTTATTTGTAAAAATTTGTCATTACTAATTTCAGATACAAGATAATGATGTAATAATACTGAATATGTTAGTTTATTAAAACATCATGTCAGATAATAGAATTATATTTCGTTCCTATGGATTTGATAGCCATGGCAGATTAGTAAATATTGAACCTGGTGAACAAAATTCTAACATAAGACGTCTTCCATATATAGAAGAAACTTTGAGAAGACTGAGTACAAATCTAAGGCCTACCAGTGGACCTAATAATGGTAAGACGATAATATTAAAAAGAAAGTATTTATATAGAATTATTAATAAATATAAATTTGTCATTACTTAATAGCAATTAAAATTCATTATTGTTATTTGCATAGAGATGTATGATGCACAAGCAGCTATGTTACCTACTGAAGAGACTAATTTTCCAACTTCTGTGACTAATTCAAGTGATCCTGTACTTTCCATTGATGCAACTGATGGATCATCATCTCCTAGTCAAGAATCTAATATTCAAACTCTAAATGTAGAAGACGAGTGAGTGTCATATTTTATTACTTATATCATTTAATGTTTATTGTTAATGAAAGAGTTGAATTTATAATAGTAGACAGAAAATATAAAGATTTCAATCTGAGTTAATATATAAAAAATATACTATATGTTGTAGTAAGAGATATTGTTGGGTTTGTTTTGCAACGGATGAAGATGATGCAACTGCATCTTGGGTTAAACCATGTCATTGTCGAGGTACAACAAAATGGGTTCATCAAGGTTGCATACAGCGTTGGGTTGATGAAAAACAAAAAGGTCGTGCTGGTGCACATGTAGCTTGCCCACAGTGTAATACAGAATACATTATTGTTTATCCAAACATGGGTTAGTATAACAATTAAAATACAATATTAATTAAATGTTCAGTAAATGATATAAATAGTTAATTATTTCAGGGCCATTGGTTGTAATACTTGATACTATTGATGGAGTTATTTTTCGAGTATGTCCATTTATTGCTGCGGGCATAGTAATTGGATCTATATATTGGACAGCTGTCACTTATGGGGCAGTAACAGTTATGCAAGTGGTTGGTCATAAAGACGGTTTAACTATGATGGAACAAGCTGATCCTTTGGTATTATTGGTTGGTTTACCAACTATTCCAATTATGCTAGTTTTGGGAAAAATGCTTAGATGGGAAGATCAAGCACTTAGCCTTCTTAGACGACATGCTTGCAAAGTTCCTATTCTAAGGCATTTCTTACCTAGTAGGTAAGTGTTTTATAAGATATTTTATTTATTTATCAAATTAAGAATACATTTAGAAAAGTAAATTTCGAAAAAAGAAAATTATATGTTTGAGATAAAATATAACTGTTATAGTTATTCTGATGATGATAGAACACAATCACCAGATGTTCCACCGATGAGTGACCCAGTATCTGCAACTCGTGTCCTTTGTGGAGCACTTCTTTTACCAACTATTGCTAGCATATGTGGAAAAATATTCTTTGAAAGTGTACATTCAAATTTTCAAAGGACGTTACTTGTATGTATATACATTATATATATATATACTTTTTATTTAAATATTTATTATGAATTGGAATTCTTCTGTAAATACTGTTATAAACATATTTATTAATAATTTTATTTTTGGACGAGAGAAACAACTAATTGTATTAATATTGTTTGAACAAATTTACAGGGTGGTATGGCGTTTATAGCCATAAAAGGTGCGTTTAAAATTTATCATAAACAGCAGCAATATGTGAGACAATGCCAGCGTCGCATAATGGATTATACAGACAGTAATGTAGCATTGTATAAAAGAAAGCAAAGTTCAGGAACTCAAACTAGCTAAATCAGAAAATGTGAAAAAATTATAATTGGAAAACAGTATCATTTTACAAATTGAAGCTACCTTCATATGTTTCTTTTTTTCATTTTTTTTAAATTTTATACAAATTTTTTTTCTTTTGTATATTGGAGTATTATTACAAAGTTTCAAAAATAATCACTATTGAAACATAACAGACATAATGTACATAAAAAATTATATAAATGCATCTTTTAAATTGTTTTATTGTAATATGATTTAATTCTGAGCATCTATAAGTATTAATATCTTAAATGTTACCTAAATAATATAGATGCATTTTTAATTTTTGGAATAATTTTAAATTGCAGTAAAAGTAAATGTGTATCGTATAAATAACTTTTATTTCTTATACTAAGCAGACTAAAAAACATTTAAGATAATGGAATAAAAGTTACATGATAAACTTTTTAAATTTTTCTTGGAAATTTTTATATTATGTAAATTATAATAGATAGATATGTAAAAATAGAAATTTACATTACCTTCTGATTATTATTTGGTTATTATTATTGTTATGGTACATATTCCGTAGATTGTCAATAACAGATGTACTTAATATAAAAATTTTTATTTAACGTAAACATTTGAGTATTATAGTCTATGGAGTAAAGTTGAACTCAGATTATTCTTATACAACGTTGTAATTGTATAATTCTTCCTATTCATGTATACTTATTGTTATTTCTTAACACACATTTTGTAATATGTCATGATTTCAGATTTTCAATAAAAATTTCCAAATTAAGGTTTTTAAGGGAAATAAAAGTTTACATTAATGTGTGCAGCAATGTTAAATACTATATAATTGAATTAAAGTTTAGAAGAAATTATTTACAAAAAAAAAAAAATATTTTTTAAAGAATATATGAATATAATGATTATTTAATTTCCTGTATATATATGAACTAATAATCAATTAACTAAATAATTGTTGAGTATATATATCTTGAGGAAAATACTGTATTTAATTAATCAAATATAATATTTTGTTGATCTATAAGTACTAACCAGTCATCAACTTAATATAAAACCTACAAAATTATATGATACAGAAATTATACATACATTTCAATGTTTTTGACAATTTGTCTTAGACATACTTAAATATATTTCTTATCTAAATAGGATTTACAATTTTTTCTCATAAATAGCATATCTTTTATTATTCTTGTACCATATATGTACAACAAAGCACCTTACATTTCTACTTTCATTTTGTACTCTATACATACAAATATTATTTGCGATATAAAGATAAATTATTTAAAAACTCTATTTAAATAATAGATGATTACTTTGGCTTATTAATAATATAATAAAAAATATGCACATATCGATCAATTATAATATCTTTTAATATTACCATAAGATTATATAATAATAAATAAAATAAAAATAGTGTAATCACATAAAAGTGTAAAAAAGAAGATTACAGAAACTATTTTTTATCAATATTTAGCAATAATTTGTTTCTATATCTACATTTATCTTTACTTACTGAATATATTTCTTTTGAAGAATTACATACATTAATATGTATATATATATATGTGTATATATACACAAATACATTTCATTTAAATTTAAATAAATGAAAGTCATTTCGTTTACAATAACATTAATGGAATAAATTATATTTATACACAAATATCATATTAAAGTAAATGCTATTAATATATATAAAATATATACTTCTGTAACCTTAAAGATGTGATAGAAATATGCATACAGTTATCACATCAAAGGTGGCCCTGTATATTTAAGATTATGCGAATAAAAGGCTGGTGGTTTATCTGCAGCTAGCAATCGAACTTCTTCAATAATATCTCCTGAATCCGTACAAGGTTTCGAATAAACTGTTTTGAAAAAAGTACATGGTCCAGCTCCTTTACCGGAATCATCTACACCATAAGGAGGACTAAGTATATCTAAAAATGCAGCTGGTCCTTCTATGCATGAAATCTCATGCAAGTTTTTATCCTGTGGTGTGAGCACACAAGCAGGGGAATTCTTATGGAGTATTACAGGTCTGTGCCTAAATGCTTTAATCTCTTCATTCATATTTATATGATCACCATTGTTCTTTAAAGTAAAACTGTTTATTTCAACAGTACCACTGATTACCTAAAATATTTAATTATATTATCTCTTTATATAAATTATTTAATTAATACTCTACATATATTTTTTATTTCTGAATATTGGAAGAGATATAGAAAAATAAAAGTAACACTATATTTATAAATGTAAATCTCTAAATATAAAGTATATGTAATAAATGTACCTTTAAAAAGCCATGCATTCCTGGATGATCATGCATAGGCATTGTAACACCGTGTTTTAACATAAAGATTGCAATAGTCATATCTTTATTTTCAAAAAGAACAATAACACACATCGGTGCAGATTGTACCTTTACAAAATCAAGAACTTGTTTGTCTACCTTCACATCTTCCGCAGTGATTCTATTGATTAAACTCCACAAATGATCGAAATTTTGTTGATACAGTTTATAACCTGTATTTTTTCTACTGCCAAATGTTTTTAATGCTTGTTTCCATAATATTTGTATTGCGGAACTCATGATAAAACAATATTTAAAAGGGTCACTCTCGAAATAATTGTTTTAAACGAGTTCTATTTATTTTTAAACAAATTCCCATAACCATATGTATATCTCGTTAAAAAAGTGTTCTTTTCTATTAATTATTACATATAATCTATAATTTTATCGAACGAATATCTCTTTAAACGACTCTAATAACTCTTGTGAAAATAATGTATTACAAAGAGGTTAATCAAATTAAATATGAATGTAAAGATTTACTACTACTCCTATTATCGATAATAATATGGGGTAAATAATTTCAAACAATGAATGATAATACATCAATTCACATTTTCCTTCCTTGTTCATTACATTCTTTTCATTGTTTCGTTCGATTATTTGTGTGATGTATTTACAAAAATAAAAAAAAGAAAAAAACAAATACAAATGTTACTACAGATTCTACAATCTGATTGGATACAAACATTAGTATCATTCATAAATCGATTACTGAAGATATACGTCATATGCAATATTAAACAGTATATTTCTCTGTAGTATTTTTATAAGTATTGTATATATTCTCTTTAAAAATATTACAATATATTTAAAAATAGATATTTATACATGCATGCATATGTATAAATATGTATTTATATCGAAGAAGAGAAGCAATATCAAATAGGTTTATTATTCGATTTTTTTCTAAGTTGGTAAAAAATTTTCAAATTTAGCGCCAATGTCAATCCTCTTATAATGTTTTTGTTTAAATAAAATGCAGTGAGATATGTTTCAAAAATGCAATAGAAATATTTACCAATAATAAGAAATGCTTTATATAATTTGTACTATTCACATTTCCTTCCGAGTGTTAACGAAAGTAATTAATTTCGTAGCAAAATACACGAAACTTTATTACTACTGTCAAAAAATACAACAAAAGTATATAGAAGCTCACATGTCCCCTTTTCGCGTAACCACATTCATCTTAGTTACTAACCTGACCATCAATGGGCGATAGAAGATATTTAATGCGATGACGGTACAATACTATAAAAGAATGCAATATTCTTTGATAGTATATGATAGTATATTATGATATATACTTTGATATAGTATATATAGTATAGTTATATTGTAATATAGAATTTTATATAATTATATTTCAGAATATATTTCAGAAATATATTTCAGAAATGCATTTATATTTATATATATATATATATATTTTAAAATGAACCAATATTTAAGACACTCTCAAATAAAAAAGAATTCAGAAGATTTGATGATAAATCCAACGATGATCACCTGTAACAAAAAGCAAACTATATTAGTCATACAGTCAAGTGATACAATTAGCCTGACATAATAATCGTCCAATTCGCAGATGCACTTTTCAATTGAATCCTTTATTTACTTTTTATCTCAAATCTCTAATTACCGCGCGTTGCAATAAAATTAAATTTAAACGCGTGATTTTACATTTAAATAAAATAAATAAAAATAAAGAAATAGGAAAAGTAAAAATACTAAGTTACTGTAAAAAATAATATCTATTAATAATTATAAAATACTTTTATAAACTACGTTATATACAGAAAAAAAATAGCAAATTAAATAAAATACAATCAAAGTAAAAAATCTTAAAAACGAAACAAGAAAAAAGAAATGACTGTAATATTTACTGAACGTTAATCAAACCTCAACATTTAATAATACGAGAATTTTAATCTTTTTGACTCTAACACATATGCATCTTTTGAACGATATAGCACACAGATTTGATGTGCCAAGGAGATGGAATGATCCATCATCTCCAATTACAATTACAAATTAATGACGAGCAAATAAATAATATAATATAATATAAAATATAACTAAAGAGATATTTTCGAAAAGTTCGAACTTATTGTTGAACCTTTGAAAATAACTCAATAGTTTGTGTAGTTGCCCACTTGATACCACATTTAAGTGGGGGCCTCTTCGGCCTTAGCCTCTTCGGCATAATGCCTCTTCTTTCTTCATACCCTAAACTCTGCCGTGAGGCTTTTTCTAAGCGCATTTTATAATACAAATCGTACAGTTACATTTACTCGAATGCCTCAACAGATATTTGATCTAATCGATGAACCTAT